TAAGTGAAGCTGCGTAAAGCAGTGGAAAACGCACGTACCACGTGGCATTTTACAAAAAGATTTGTATATATCACTGTTTCCTAATCCACCGCACTAACCTATGGGACCAGAAAAGCATGAGCTTGTAAGTTATTCCCATAATAAATCTTTGAATCTTTGACTTAATCTTAAAACCTTGTTTAAGACCAAATCAGTTACATGGAAGGAGTCATTATTTTTAGAAACCCCAAATCAATACAAAGCAAAAAGCGTGCACCTATTTGTAATCCTGTTGTTTACCTATCTTTTTTATTGCAGTACTGGGATGCCCTAAAACTGTGCGGCGAATACAATGTGCCTATCAATGAGGAGTTGGTGGAAAAGTTAACCCCACCACTTCCGGGCGAAGCCGAATCAGGAACGAACATAAAACGGGGTTCCGAACCCATGTCTGATGCCGAACGAACAAGCATATTGATTGAACTAGGGGAACTGTGTCTGGCACAAGGTCAATATCACTTAGCATGCAAGAAATTCACGCAGGCTGGCAGTCGTTTGGCAGCAATGAAAGCTCTGTTACGCTCCGGTGACACGGAAAAAATTGTCTTCTTTGCAAATGTCAGCAAACAGAAAGAAATTTATGTGATGGCGGCCAACTATTTGCAAACATTGGATGAATGGCGCACAAATGTTGACACTATGCGTACTATTGTGAATTTCTACACTCGCGGTAAGGCTCCAGAATCTCTGGCATCGTTCTACGAAGCATGTGCACACGTAAGTAAATGTTATCCACACTCTCTACAGATGCATAATAATACCAAAATCTTTTCAATCAATAGCATTTGTGGTGTATAGCAACTTAAAAAGCTCGTTGACAGTTTAAATTTTGCAAAGATTAGGGACATTTGAGAGAATGAACATCGATCCATTGGCATAAAACATTCATTCTACTAGTTTCCCGTCTATTTTCCATATTTGTCTAAAAGAATTTAAAAAAACTGCGGTGCGGTTTGGCCGCTATCAGTCATGCGTCCGCCATCGCTTGCTCGAAGACCTCATTGATGAACAACATCATATACAAATTGGTTTGTGCGAGAAGTTTGAATATCTTGAATATCACAATCGTCACTTGCGCACCGACAGTGGTGACTGTCTATCCCACCCAATTATTCAATCTCGTTTCAGTGTACTCCCTGTTAGACTAAATGTGTTTAGAATCTCTGCATTTCCCTACTTGCCTTATTTTCTTATGTGAATAGAAACAAAGCATTCAGCGTATTGCTTGCAAACTCTCAATTGTGGAACTGCTTTTACCATTTTTGTTTTGAGTTTATTTCGTTCTTGTTTTTTTCACTTTGATTGAAGTCTGACTCTAGGAGCTTGCAGAATTCATATTAATACAATGCAATATGATACAATAACAATAGTGAAACAAAAGCGGTTGAATAATGATAGTCAAAAACAAAAGACCGATCGCAGTTCGGCTGAAGTTAGCCGTACACGTGCCCTTTTCTCCGGTAAAGAACTGGAAAGCTCTCACTAACTCACGTGGAAAGTGCCGTCATCCCTTATCAATGAAAGTGCTATCCAATAGCACTGCAAACAAATAATTGAGGTGAAACGTAAACTAAAATACTGCCCAATCGCTTGCAGAAACAATCATTTTCCTTTAGGAAAGTGCCCTGTTGAATCCAGTAAAAATGAGTAAACTTTTCACGGAACAAAAAAGGACAGCATCCCTTGCTGTTAGCGTTTAATTCACAGCTATCTCACGAGCGGGTCTCTGAGTGGAATTATTTTTTCGGTCATTAAAAGGCACCTAAAAAGTTCAATAAATCGATAGGTGCGATTAAATTCAGTTGAAAACCATCTTTCTCATTTTGCTAGTTATTCCTTCCACTCTCAAAACACACGATATACCTCATGTTTGCGTCCATCTGGATATATCACTCAGCGGTCCACTAGTAAAGTAAACAAATCAGAATCCACTGAACTGATCAAACTATGACTTCTTCACTAAGCCGCATTTGATTTGCACACACCCCTTAAGATCGGTCAACAAAATGCCTTAGCTAGAACCCCTAGAAACTTCATTGTATATCTTTTGTCTTTGAAACCCGCACACAACATTTTACCTCAATTGTCATAGGACGTTCGCTAGATAGAACCTCATCCCATGCACTACTTTTCATGTCTGAAGTTAATGGTGTTACGGGCGTCGAAATTATGCAAAATGTCAAGACTGATCGCTCTTGACTAAATTCCAGTCCATTGTCAACTTTACGGTGTTTATTCGTTGTTTCGGTTTATGCGCTACATAATCACAATCAGCCACGAATCAAAAACGACAATTTCTGTAGTATTCGCTCAACGGACATTGAAGTTGTCACAGGCGACCTAAACCCCTAAGTGAGACTCCCGAATAATTCATAAATCCTAAGACACCTACTCTAAAGAGCCTGATAAATGACCGCGAGAAAGGGCGACTGATAAGTGAAGATGGAAAACCGTGCAATTACCGGTAACAACCGCAGTCTCTTTCCTTTAACTAGGAGTACCGATCTACGGATGCTAGAAGTGAGGTAACTAAAGTGTCCGATGATGCGGTGAGGCACATCGTCTGGAGTGATGGACAGAACATTGTAAGGTGCAGTTCAACTGGTCTTCATTATTAGATTTATCCGATTATCCGGTTAGAACACTATTCGATCAACCGAAAATGTCACTCATAAATGATTATTGCCCAATGTCCCGGTCAGTGCGGTGTTATTCATTCATGGAAAAATAACCGATTATACTCATGTGAAATCTTTTTAGGCTGAGGTGGAGGAATTCGGGAGTTACGAGAAGGCCACTGGAGCATTGACTGAGGCATACAAGGTGCTCCTAAAAGCGATCAGCTCAGACGGTGCAGGCGAGACCAACGAACTACGATTGCAAAAGCGATTGGCTCAGATAAAAAATAAAGCTACCATGTGCAAAGAATTCGCAGAAACACAGTTGTAAGTTCATTGATCTACTTTCTCATTTACTTTAAGAGTCAATGACTCCTTTATTTTTGTTTTCATTCCGTGTATTGCATTACGGCAGTTGTGGTTAATCTTCAAGCGATACGTTGGCACAAAGCGGTCTCAATCATAGACAGACTACTTAGAAATTGCGTGCTTCAACCGCAAAAGCATTTACGTGAAACAGTTTGGGACTTGACTTTTGTTTGTGAATGACGGGTACATATGGTGAGCAGCTTCAACATGCCAAACACCATTAAAAAGCCTTTGAGTCATTGAACAACCGTAGTTTTCCCAACATTTCTGATTAGCAAA